GCCATCATGTACCTTGTTGGAGCACTTGTGACGGCATTTGCACCTATCTTTGTAGTTATGGTGATTGGGCGTTTTATTTATGGCATAGGGATTGGACTGGTAATATACTAAATGCTCAGGCATTCACTTATGAATTTTCTGAATGACCATGTTGTAGCATACACCTCTTTCTTTTGGGTTTTCACGTTTTCTGTTGAGAGAACTATGTTCATGTATAACCTCTACATACAACACATATCATTTAATAAATTATGTATCAAAATAAAATTTCAATACATCATTTTATTTTTATATTCTGGGAAACTGCAAATTTGATGTTTAGCTGGCAGGGCAACAGACTAATCGAAAAAGCATTATCTGTTACTATAAACAATAATTTATTTCTAGTTGCTTTTGTTTTTTGTTTTAAAAAATTCCTGTCACTCGAGTGAATCAATGAATTTTAAGTTTATTCACATCTAGGCAATGCATTCTGCCCCAATGTATATTGCTGAGACAGCTCCAAGTCAGATTCGTGGTCTACTAATTTCTCTCAAAGAGTTCTTTATAGTTCTTGGGATGGTTGTAAGTTCTTCAACTTTTCTCTCAAGGCTTTTCAATTTTGTTTTAATTCATTATAGTTGAATTTTTTATCCACCAGTATGTGCTTTGAATTTCTTTCCCCCCTTTTTTGGAAACATGACAACTGTAAGCTCCTGGATATTGTGCAGGCTGGTTATGGAATTGGCAGCCTTTTAGTTGAAACAGTAGCTGGCTGGCGCTATATGTATGGAGCTAGTACCCTTTTGTCAGTGATCATGGGAATTGGAATGTGGTGGCTTCCAGCATCACCCAGATGGCTGCTATTGCGTGCCATACAGGGAAAAGGCAACATGCAGGAGTTAAGAGAAACTGCAATATGTTGTTTATGCCAACTCAGGGGTCAATCTATTGGTGACTCTGCTTCTGAGCAGGTAGATGAAATTTTGACTGAGCTTTCTTATGTTGGTGAAGAAAAAGAAGCCACACTAGGTGAAATATTCCATGGAAAATGCTTGAAAGCCCTGATTATTGGTGGAGGTTTAGTTTTGTTTCAACAGGTATTATCATTGACTAAGGACCTATGATATGGAGGTATCATATTCCTACAGTTTGACTGACTTATATCTTCAATTTTCATGATAGATCACTGGTCAACCAAGTGTGCTATATTATGCTGCATCAATCTTTCAGGTATCAGATTGGTGTACCTTTATGGTACTCATTGCAAATTTAAATTGAAATTTTTTTTATGGATATAGGTAGAAGAAGACATTTACTTTATCCTAACCTATCAAAATCTAATAGAGTGCAGGATTTTCTGCAGCATCCGATGCTACCCGAGTCTCTATTTTACTTGGTTTGCTGAAGGTAGATTCTTTTCCTTGACAAAAATTTTTGTTCTAAGGCACTTCAAAGAAGTGCAAAAACACTTTTAGGCATGGAAGTTATCATTCATATTATGTAATATTTGGGCTTGAACGCTTTCCTGTTTAAATTGATATTCTTTCTAATCATTTTCTGGGAACATCTTCTATAAGTTTCAAATTTCATCCTGACAATTTCCCCACTCTGAAAATATTTTACTTGCTATACTGTTTAATTTTTCATCTGTGTGCATATTTATGTTCTATTGCCTTATGCCTTTGAGAATGTGTGCAAATATGAACTCTAAAGTGTTGCTTAACTTAGTTGATACAGGATGCTTGACTCTGCTTTTCAACCATAGGAAAGATATTGACTAACATTTAGTGCTTGACTTTATGAGTATTGCCTTGTATTTTACCAAAAGTCTGATAGAGTTCTTTTCAAAAACTACAGATATTCAGTGCTCTGGAAGATTTTTGGCATATTGTGTTCTTGCATGATTAGCTATCACTGATTCTCTTGTTGTTCAAGCATGCATATGACAAAACACATGTTGCCTGCTATCAAGATGATGTCATGGGAAAAAGTTTTTATTTTTGTTTATCATTTTTATGCCTATACAATTGTTTCCCATTGCTCCCTTCTACATGATTCACAAAATCTTTCCCAAAAGGGGACTTGGCAGCTGGTTCAACCAGAAAGTGTTGACATGTTATTTTTTTTTAATAGTTGATTATGACAGGAGTAGCTGTTGTAGTTGTTGATAGGCTTGGGAGGAGACCTTTATTATTGGGTGGTGTTTCTGGGATGGTAAGTCCTTTTATCTCTATCATTTGCACTAATCGTGATCTGCAGGAGGCAAAAGTTTACTTTTTTTTTTTTGAAGTTTGTGAGGCCATTCTGTTAGATCCATGTTTCTGCTTGCTTGAGCCTAATGTTTACTTGTTGCAAGTAAATCAAATCTGAGTTACAATTATTTGACTTGAAATACCAGTGAGAATTGAAAAACAAGTTCCAGATATGAAATATGTTCTTTGTCTGTGCAACAGGTTATTTCTTTGTTCCTTCTTGGATCATATTACCTTTTCCTGGATGATGTGCCGGCTATTGCTGTTGTTGCACTGCTATTGTATGTTGGGTGTTATCAGGTAATCAATATTAAGTTTTCTTTATAAATGTTGATTCCCATTCCACTATTTGTGATTTTAATGTGACAATTCTCAGCTAGGGTAGAACTCATCTATACAATCATTACCTAATGGATTTCTGTACATGTTGGTTAGACTGAAACTGTATTACATCCAGACCATATTTCTATGTTCAATTGTTCCTGCTTGGTTTGTGTTGAAGGCAATTCATTAAAATGGTAATGGAAATTCACATCATGATAGTGCTTGCCTCACTGTTCCATCAGCTTCTGTTAATTAATGAAATGCAGTACATTTGCAACAATATTTCAGTAGCTTTGTTTTTACTGTGCTTCTAGCATAGAAATTCATAACTCTATTAATTACGATTTAAACCTAACATTACTGTTATGTAAGGCTTATTTTTTGTCTTTATTTTGTGTTTGCATTTCAAGAGAGCTGAAACGTTAGCCTGGTCAACTTATGTCATGTTAATCCTTACTCTAATGCTGTTGCTAAGAACATTGCAGTTATGATGAATGCTAGTTAGGAAATTTTTAATGAATACTAGTAGGTTTACTTCTTCTTGCATAGTTCTGATGCTTCATTGGTTCTGTTGGGTTGATTATTTTGTATGCAAAGCCATAATCTTTCTGGCCATTTAGCGAGGGAAAGAATGGATATGTGTCCTCTGTTAGTATGTAGTTGCAAATGTGGGGGAATATTTGTGTCTAAAATTCTTCAGTATTTTGTTGTCATTTTTACTACTTAAAATCTATCCCTGTTTCTCACAATAGTGGGTTATATACTTTGGATTTGATTTTTGTTTTTTTGCATCTATGCCTCATGAAATTTGTTTTGCAGTTATCCTTTGGTCCTATTGGCTGGCTGATGATTTCGGAGATTTTTCCCCTACGCCTCAGGGGGAGAGGACTTAGTATTGCTGTGCTTGTGAATTTTGGAGCAAATGCACTTGTAACATTTGCATTCTCTCCTTTGAAGGTACTTAAGCGTTTAAACATATTTAGTGTGTCAATCATAATTCCTTTGAAAGTTTTGTTAATTTCATCCCTTAGACGCATGTATCCTCGATAAGATAGTGACAGGTCATTGAGATAATCTGTCTTCATAATTTCTGTTATAATCATGATGTTGACTACTGTCAGTCTGTGGTTGTCCAATTATAGCATTACATTTAACACTATATTTTTTTTGTGTAATTTAGCTCCTTTTTCTTGTAAAAAGTGGATAATTTGGTCTTGTTGCTCTTACCCTGGTGATGCTTTTTAAGCTGTTTTAGTGCTTGTAAAAGCAAGTGTATTTGATAATTGTGCTATCTCATATAAGCATAGATATAGAGAAAGTTTACATGGTACATGAAGTTTATAGATGTGCAGTGACACGTACTCGATTTTTATGTCTTAAGATTGGGCCATTTGCATTTTATAAAAATGTATGTTAGGCATACATAGCAATGCATATAAGAGGCATGAACTTTCTAAACTCTGCTGATTCCAGTTTTGAACTTTGAATATGTCTGGATATGCTTATAAATTGATATCAATGACTATCAATGGTGATGGTCAGAAGTCAAGATAGAGGAGAAAGTGGAGACAGAATTATTTTGTTTGTTTCTTTAAAAAAAAAAATTCCTTGCCGACAATCACCTACCAGCCATTGAACTTGATAGAGCTGCTTCTTGATCCATCATCTCACTTGACACTAACTAATGAAAGCTAAGCAGGTGATACCATTGAAACGTGCCTGGTTATTGAAGCATTTATGTGACTAATAAATATACTCCCATTTACTTTTGCTTTTCAAATCTCATGCTGAATTCACATCAATGGCTGTCACTTAGATTGTTAGATGAAGACACCTATATCACCTTCTGTTCTGTTTATCTGCTGTCGCTTTAGCTTCTATATATATCACCGTTTTCATGCTTTGTCTTTTGAATCATGAAGGGTACAAGAAATTGTTAACTACTATTGTTTTTCTTCTTTAAAATTTTGTTCTTAAGGCAGATAATGGCACTACTTTTCATTTTCTTATTTTGTCTTCTCGAAATTCCATGATTTTTACGTTTAACTGCTGGTTCTGTTGTTTCTTTTTTGACTATATAGGCATGGCTGGGAGCTGGAATTGTGTTTTATGTGTTTGGAGTGATAGCTGTATTGTCTCTCCTCTTTATATTCTTCATTGTACCAGAGACCAAGGGCCTAACTCTGGAGGAAATTGAGGCAAAATGCCTATAGGTTTTGTTACCACCTATTCAACCTTTGAATGCTACATTGAATACCCCTATGTAATTTCATCTATGCAGGGCAGTTCCTCCTTTGTTCAAAAAAAAAAAAAAAAAAAAAGGAAAAACTTTTGCAACTTTTGGGTATAGTTATAAAAATAAAAGTCAGTTAATTTTTATCACATGGCTTTAGCTTCTCTTTAGAGGAAATTTTCTATGAATTCGCTAGGTCCATCATAGATAAGCACATTTATACTGACTTAGGGAAAGGATGTATTGAGCGAAACCCAGAAATCCGCTCAACCAAAAAAAGATAGTACCACAAATTTTTTGTACATCTTGCCACTTTGGTCTGATATATGTTATCAATTCTCTCTTATTAGAAGTCTATACGGTTTTATTTATCTTTATGTCTCTTACTATCAAGTGGACATGCATTTGGAGCTGATGACAAGGAAAAAACTAACCTAAAGAACTTTATGATGGAGATATGAGCTGCTTCTTCATCTCAGCTGCTAGTTTGCTTCCTGTCATAAGCTCTTTGCCTGATATCTTGGATTAATTGTGTAATGTTGTGGTGAGAAGATCCCCCAATTTCAACAGCTTTATTTGCCATTTCTCCAAGTTTCTTGGCTCTTTTTCTTCTCTCTTCTGCTTCCTCTCCATCCATCAACTTTTCTATAGCCTCTTTAACATCTTCCTTCTTCACCAACACTCCTATTTTCTCTTCTTCTGCCCACCTCAGAGGCTCCTCCACTCCAACCTTCACTCCAATTTCAAGTATTTGTACAGCCAATTTCTCATTGGCAAACTGGTCTGCAAATAGCGGCCAAGTTATCAATGGCACACCGGCAGAGATGCCTTCAACCGTCGAATTCCAGCCACAATGAGTTAGGAATGCTCCGATTGCAGGATGTGACAATATTAGTATTTGGGGAGCCCAACCCCGGATTACAAGGCCTCTTCCTTTTGTTCTTTCCTCAAAACCATCCTCTAAAATCCACTTCTCTACTTCGTTCGATGCATCACTCCCTCTTATAACCCAAATAAATGGTCTATCCGATGCCTCTAAGCCTAAACCGAGCTCTATTGACTGTGAGGGTATAACGTTGGATTGGCTTCCGAGACAGGCATAGATTACAGAACCAGGTTTTTGACAATCAAGCCATCTCATGCATTGGTGTTCATCAACCGAGGCCTTGTTGCCTCTTTGAGCCTTATCCAAGGCATCCTTGTTACATAGAGAAACTGGACCAATGCACCATACTTTGTTTCCTCTTGCCTTCCTGTATTCCTTGACATATTCTGGCTCCATCTCTTCAAACGTATTTATGACTTGGCCATACGATGCCAACTCAGTCTTCCTTGTTTGCTCCGAAAATTCCTCGAGGGTTTCATGCATAACTTCAGCAATCTGGGACTTAGTAAATTCAACTTTGTCGGGCATGTTAGGCACAACAAAATACTCTGTCTCCGAAGTTATGTGGTCAACAATTTTGGAGATGCGTATATTGTGGATGCACAGAAGAAGAAAGCAACAAACCCCATGGAACACAATCCTCGGAATCTGAAACTGGTTAGCAATGTTGAGTGTATATGACAACAAGACATCTGAAATGATACAGCTTGGCCGTGGCGTTAGCTGCTCGAACAGGTTTTGTACTGGCTTTTCTAGCATGTTGGCTGCTTGGAAGAAATTCAAGGCTAAGCTAAATGAAGGCAGCATGTCGAAGTTCTCACACCCTTCTGGCAATCCTGATTCTGCACATGGGAACCGAAATTCAACTACACGGATTGACAGCCCTGATTCTATGGCACGATCAAGATTTGCCTTAAATCGGGCTGCGTTATGAGGAGTTGTAACAATGGTTACGATCACACGTTGCTGTGCCAATAATCTAGCTATGTCTATCATGGGGGTCATATGGCCTTGAGCCATGAAGGGGAACACGACAAAATGAAGCTGCTCGACTTGAGTGGCGGCCATGGACTCAACAGCAACTAAGAGTAGATGAAAAGTGATCCTGGGAAAACCAAGGCTGCAACTTGTGGAAATTAATAAATAAGAAATGGTCCAAGATGCCTTCATGGTGACATAAGAGCATACATAAGCAATTTTGTTTTTCTAGAAAAATTGAGGTTCTCATTTTTGAATAAAAATGAAATTTTTGGTGGATTGGATAATGTTCAGCCCTGATATTTGAATAATCTACGTTGTATTGTTTGACTTCCTTTTATCTCCAAAATGTCCTGAATCAAATGACTAGATGAGAACTAGAATTCAAACTAGTATTTGTTGTTTTGCATAAGATAAAAATAAGAAATTTTGTTTGTCATGATAATATAAAAATAGTAAGTTTTTTTTCATGAAAAATAGAGTAGAGTATGTCATGAACCAAATTAGAAGATAAAAAGTTATGTTTTTTTATTGAAACAGGTTAGAATAAAATAATATTAGAAATAAATTTAAATTAAATGTTATTATTTTATTTTATATTTAATGTATGCAATAATTGAGAAAGAATAGTTTTATTTATTGGTTAAAATTATTTTTCTTCAAAATTTATATAATTTAAATTCTTAATATAATTTTTAAAAGTATAATAAAACATGTAATTTAATTTTAAAAATTAAAAAAAATTATTTTAAAAAATTGAATCCTCTTATATAAAAAGAATAATTAAGACTCATTGTAATTTTATTTTTTTATATATAAATCGAATATAATATAAAAATTTTATAATCTTATCTTATTCATTATCTTATTACATTAAATATGATTTTGATGTATTATATATATTAGATCTTCATTCATTAAAAAAATCATACAATCCTAATCATATCTTAATTTTAAATATTATGCTAATTACAATATTATAATCTCTATTATTAGAATATTACATTGACAGGCCAAACACCGGACCGTGGACTTGCAAGGTGAAGGAACCAACAGTTTCTTATATCCATGGCCCCATCTCCTTTGGGGCGTACTCTAGTAATGTGGCGGTTACGTTATTGTGGTTTGTTACTGGCTAGAATAAGCTATACCTATTCACGAGTTGGGTAGCCTGGCCCAACCTGGATTAGGCCTTGATTGAGAATTTTCAAGATGGAGTTACCTTTGTAAGAATATTTTTATCATAAAATAATTGATTTTTATTTAAATTTAACTTTAAAATAAATTAAAATATTGACATAAAATTAATTTTTTAATATTTTAACAATAAATTTAAATAATATGGGTTCAAATAGGCATCTAAGCTATCTTTAAGTAAGCATTTAAAAACATTATGTGAATTTGATTAGACTTGATTTATGAATAATTTTAGCCAAATATATATGCAGTTTATGGACCAAGATAATTAATTTTCTAAGCAAATAATTTATAAACTATGGAAATTAAAAATACTATTATGATTTTAAAATTATATACATATGTAAATTGATCTATGTAATCTTAATATGTTTTTCATTTTCTTATTATTAGTTATGCCTAAAGGTGATTACGGATTAAGTAAATCAAATATGATTGATACTTTTAAATTTTTATTAAAGATTTAATTAGACTCATCTTAGTTTTTATTTAAATTATTTAATTTAAATATATTATTAAAATATTAAAAATAATCTTTATATTAATATATTAATATTTTAAAATAAAAGTAAATAAAAATCCACAAGAATTGATCCTGAGTTCAGAAATCCTGCCTAAAACCAAACTTGAGTTGAGACAAACCCATTGATCTAACTAGCCACCCGATCCATGAAAACATTTAGCCATGTCACTCAAGTGAAAACAAGTAGATTTTCACGTAGAAGCTCTGTTCATTCAAGTTTGGATTTAGACTTTTAGGCATAAAAAAAAGAGAATATTATTTAATTAATAAATTTATATTTTATTTAATTTAAATTCAAAAATATATTTAAAAATATTAAAAAATTAATATAAAATATTTTTATTATTTTAATAAATTCAATGTGTCATAGATTATCATAACTAATTTTAAACATGAGCGATGGATAGATATATAATTATATATATAACTTAATTATATAATATAATTAATAAATTTTATATAAAAATAAAAAATTTCAATGTAAAATAATGAAAAAATAAAAATATTGTAGGTCAATATGTATCTATATAATATAAAAAAATGCTTTGTATATAATTTAAAATAATTTGTATATAGAACTTATAGAATATGTACATAATATTTATAAAATATGTACATCTATGTGTAATTATATATATATACTGAAAATATAAAATATATAAAATATATAAATATATTAATTATTCTATTAATATGGTGAGACTTTTTAACATTGAATATTGAATTATAAGATTAACAAGGTACAATCATGCTTGTATATTTAATTATGTTATATTGAGTTTGAGATATGAATAAATTGTAATCTAAGTAAAATTGATATTTCTTTAGTATAATTTTGTTGGGATAAAATCAAAGTGACACAGCCCTCCATGGTTAATGATAAATCAAATTCTTATGTTGTTGGGATAAATCAGAATTGCAGCAAATTTTGTTGGGATAAATCTAGTTCTTTTTTTTTTTTTTTTACTTTCAAATTTTAGGTATTGATTTTGTTATTTCCTGAAGTAGTGGATTGAATTTACATTTTGAAATGTAACCTGAGCTTGAGATCTGTATAAATGTTAATCTAAGTTAAAGCTGCTAGTTCTTCAGTGTAGCTACTTTCTAAAATTAAGTGATGAAGCTATCAATACTTTCATAGTAATTCATACAAGCAACAAGAGATTGCAAAGAAACAACAATGAAGAGCTGATGTTATCTGCAAACTCCTTGGTTTCAAGAGGAGTGCAGACAACCAAAGAAATAGGAGCATGTGTGAGCTTATTTTGACAGTTTGAAATAAAAATAGAAAAAACTTCTTGTTTGATTGTTTGCTTTTGCTATTATTTTCCCTTATGCAGCTTCAAGTTCTTAGTTCTTGTTGCTTTTGTTTTTGGCAGAACACTGCTTTTCTCACCAAGCATTACTTTTGTATTTTTCATATTTAAATCAAATTCTTACACTAACTTCGAGCTTAACTCAATTAGTTTATGCAATCACCTTTAAGAGCCAATATCCAGCTGGTTTCAAATTCTTAGAGTAATGCTCTGGTATTTCCTAAAGGATGCTTTTAGTTGTGTTTGACAACTAAACTTCTTGATGAATTCAAAGCAATACTACACAGTAATATTATAAACTTCACTAGATTAGTTCATCATGCATTAAACACAAAATTATAAACACAAGAAAAATCAAAGCTTAAGATACAAAGCACCTAATCATCATAACCAAGAACCTGTCCATGATCTGGGCCACAACATCTTTGGACTCCTTCAAGACCTTCAAGGCTCACATGGAAGACCTGTACTTGTTGTTTAGTGCAGTATTTACATTCCTGACAAAATTATCTTGTCGATTCAAGAGATTAGTTCACTCCATCATGTCATCAGGATTGAAAGTAGAATCCTTCAGCTTCTCCATCTGCACAATCTTCCTCACCCTAATGATTGACTGCTCTCTCATCTTCTCAACAAGATTATGAGCTGCTCTCTTTGTATATACCTTAAGCTGGTAAAATATTTCAGAGTGGCGCACTAAAACAGAAATCACCAATTTATCTATGTAGTCCCAAATCTTTTCAGCAAATTCAATTGGCATCACCTCTCTCCCTCACACACACACACACACACACACTACCTTTTGATACAGTTCATTAGCATGAATTGGAGAACATCAAAGAGCGAGAGACTAAAAGAAGATACATTTACAGTATGTAGTTGTTGCCTCGTCTATCCATTCTCGCAAACCAGCTGAGACACCTATTTTTGCAACCGATCATTCTCCTCCATCAACACCTTGTTCATTGCTGTTAAATTTCCATCACAGTCTGCAACCTTAAAGTCTCTTTTCTTTGCTTCTCTCTACACCTGCACAACTCAATGACAACCTCATAACTAAAATTTTCTAACTAAAAAAAAAAGAAAAAACTAATTATCTAAAAAACACCCAATTTTACTATAGTTTATAACAGCAGCAATAAAGAACAAAAACCAAGATCAAGTTTTCCTACCTACTATTTGGAAACCAAACTTTGATCTAATTAGGGTCAATGTTGGAAAGAATGGGGCATTCCCTTATCAACTGTTGCCTAGGCAAAGAACTTGGCTTTGGGGCACTCAGCATAGACTTGTTCCAAAGCTTCAACTTGCTCAGCTGTGTACCCAACATACTTGCCATCATCAAGATGTTTGTTGATGCTAATGCCACTGCCACTTCTGCTCTCCCTGTGTTGGACCACCGCCATAGCCACTTCTAGCTAAAACACGAATGCAAAACCCAATCTTACCTTATATTTGAAAAAGTGGTCAGACAGAGAAAAAGTGAGCGAAAGAAAGAAGCTGTGAGCAGCGTGGTGAGTGATAAAAGAGCCGAATGTTTTGGAGGATTTATCATGCACAGTAAGTTTGCAATATATCGATTTTAAAATCAGGTTATGAAATATCATAATATTTCATAATATATCATGATAACTTATATAAAAAAAATATAATTTTTTAAAAAATAAGAAAAAAATTAATAGATAAACATTAAAAAAGTATATATAATTTTATTTAATTTATTAATTTAACAAATAAAAATGACATATTTTTTAATTTTAAAATATCAATTCATTTTACGAAATCAAATTATTTAATTTCATTTAATAATATACCGAACGTTTTGGAGGATTTATCATGCACAATAAGTTTGCAATATATCGATTTTAAAATCAAGTTATGAAATATCATAATATTTCATAATAAATCATGATAACTTATATAAAAATAATATAATTTTTTAAAAAATAAGAAAAAAATTAGTAGATAAACATTAAAAAGTATATATAATTTTATTTAATTTATTAATTTAACAAACAAAAATGACATATTTTTTAATTTTAAAATATCAATTCATTTTACAAAATCAAATTATTTAATTTCATTTAATAATATATTTTTATGCTTTTCTTATCATTACATTTACAATTATTAAAAAAAATTTTGACATAAGACATTTCAAACATATTTTATGTCTAATAATATGACTTTTATAATTATTCTCATCTTTTTACTTTAACAATTTTTTTATAAAAAATCTTTTAATTTAAAAATATCAATTCTTTTACATTGTCAAGTTAGTTATTTGTTTTATTTTAATTTTTTGTTATGCTTGTTCTTACTGTCCTTTTTAT